TGCTCTGCCCTGATCCCTATTTTCCCCACATTGACACCTCTAGTGTAAAAGTAACTCTTGCTCCAAATTGGAGTAGCTGTGGCTGATTTCTGGAACTTGCTGTGATATTGTTAGTTTGAATAAGGAATGTACTATTTGTCTTGGCTTTCATTTGGTACCACTAGTATTGGCTAGGATAAGCGTCCCCCTCTCTAATATTGTACCAAATCCCTCAATACACTCCATATTTCTTTTTAAACCTTTAAATCTGGTTTTGATCACCCTTTTCCTACTCAGCTCACAACTCACAGCACCCTATTTGGATTTTAAAAAATCTGGTTTCTGCTCCCTGCACAAACAGGTAAGTCTGTCAGTCTGAAATGTGTGGTCAAGTATAGAAGAAGGAGGCATGGCAACACCTGTGTATGACTTCTCTCTAAGAATCACCTTTAATATGGCTGCTGCTCTCTGATTGTGCCTCAAATAATTGCTGCCTCCCTCTGAAAAGGAAATCTTCTCTCCACAAACCGCTTGTTAAAATACTCCAAGATGGGGAAAGATTTCTTAATTGCCTACATGAGCAAGTCAGATTTATCTTTTCAGGTTGCCATAACTGCCCCACTGCTGGTTTTACAGCATCATTCTTCTGCCTTGAACCTAGAAGGAATAGAGAAAGATGGGAGATTGGCTCACTCTTCTAATGGGAAAATTATCACTTGGCCTAATAAGGCCTGGGACACACGGACAGGAAAATGCAGGGGGGGAGCGTGGCTGTTTGCCCCGGGGCAAAATAATGCACGGTTGTGCTAGCAGATGTACTGTGGAGGTCCCGTGGAGGTCCCATGGAGGTCCCGTGGTAGGGGGGAAGTGCCGAGCACACCACAATCCTGCGCCGTGGCAAAGAAGCGGCGCGGCAAACGGGTGTTTATTTTTTGGACACCAAAGTGTGCGCATGCCCCGTTGGGTATTTGTGCGCATCCCATGGACAGTTGGGGAAAAAAAACTTTATACGAGGGGGCATGGGCAGGCGCTGGAACTACCACCGGAAATGCGATCAGACGCCCGCCCTTGCCCCGTGGTTACCGGAAACTAGTACCTCCGAGGTACTAGTTTTTAACCGCGCATCTTCAGCGGGAAGCCTTGGGTTCGCCACAGAAGCTCTACGCTTCCCAGATGTGGGGGTGAGATCGCGCATGGAAAATCCACCTATCTTCCATCCCTCTAGCGTGCCTAATGTTCCGTGTGACCGCAGCCTAAGGCTTTACCAGCTCACATGCAGGAATTTTTCTTTACTTTAGCAATGTGGCTACTGAGATCTATATAGATAAGGCCCCCTAAAAGGATCTATATAGGATCTATATAGATAAGGCCCCCTAAAAAGGCTACTTTATCTTTAATACAACAATATTTATAAGTGAGTTCTGTGTTTAACCTTTTGCCAGTGAACCAGACAGAAACATTATATAAGTTAATGATGAATTTTAAAATGATGGAATTTAACCCTATGAGTACTGGAAAAAAGCAGCATGCAAGAAAATTCAGTTGCCCTACCATTTCTCAAGTGTAATTGAATATATGAACTCTAGAGTAAATCAACTTTCAAATGAACATCTCAGAATGCTTTAGGAATGGAACTTGTAGGGCATTGATTCGTAGACTATTGACATCATTTCCAAGGGAATCTTAATGGGGCATGGGACTGCATTGTCCTGTCTGATCATGTATTTGGCTAGTTTACTGGGCAGCTGTGACAGACTCCGGGCTTGGGATCAGCCTGCAATAAAAGACACCTGCAGTCACGTGACTAGTAGTGGTGATGTAATTCTGATGCATAACTCGGGGCGGTTCTATAATAATTAAAAAACCTCTTGACAGTTGAAGTTTGGATGTAGTCAGTTTTTTTGGGTCAGTGGGTACTGTGCCAGGGGACTGACAAGTCATGTTGGACCTTACTGAGTCTGAGGAGTAAATGAGATTTCTCTACAGATTCCAATATTAAGGGAATCTGAGAAAAGCCAAAGGTGATTCTATACCATAGTGAAATCTAAGGAGTCTTAAAAGGGAAAATAGGCTCCTGGTGGTTAAACAAGAGATTCACATTCCTCTCACATAAAATCTATACCCTGCTGGAGAAAGAGTTGGGTTTAGTGAATTTAGTGTGTGCCAGGAGGGTTTATTGGACTAGTGGGTAAAAGAAAGAAAGAAAGAAAGAAAGAAAGAAAGAAAGAAAGAAAGAAAGAAAGAAAGAAAGAAAGAAAGAAAGAAAGAAAGAAAGAAAGAAAGAAACCCAAGGCACAGTGGAGGTATTTCTCTGCGGAGGTGGAGAGTACCAGAGAAATCAAAATGGAAAATGGCAGTCTAGAACCCAGGGGTTGAGATTAGAGATAGTGTGTTTTGTACTGTGGCATATGAAGTGAATTATTATAAATGAATTGACCTAAAGCTGAACTATACCATTTGAAACAATGTATACACAAGCATCAGCTTTTCCCTTGTATATATATTCCCTGCCTGTCTCTCCTTGTAAATAAAATTGCCAGTTGGTATTATTGTTCCATGTTGTGGGTGCCTCAGTGTCTGACAGAGCTAAGTATCTGACAAAGTTAAACCATAAACTTCATCCTAGAAAAAGGGTGGTGCTCACGAAAAGCCACAGATATTAATATTTATTAAAAGGTCTCATCAATAAGTGGCTGGGTGTGTGATAGAGGGACGAACTGTGTGGGCTCCAACGCTGAAAGAGGCAGGCAGACAGTGTCAGTGGAAAATAAGACTCCTCCAGCTTGTGAAAGTTTAAAGGAACAAATCCCCATACACTCTGAAATAAGGGGGTTCATCATAGCAGCTCTGTATTGTAAGGCATGCCTGTGAGTGAAAAGGACTGGAAAGTGCCAGCCCTGCAATACAAGTCATTCCTCATGGCCTGGATATCTTCAGTCCCAGAGAGTCACTGAAAGGACCCTTGATTAGGGTGTTTGACAGCATGTTCAGTGAAATGAACACCGGGATATTGTTTTATTTGCATATAGTTGCTATCATTGTCTCCTGGTTTGATGCAAAATGAATTTTCCTTGCACCCATGGTTTCACAACACCCGGAATTCTAGGGAGCTTTAGAGATCATAAATTTTTCTGAGCTAGTGTCCAGATACCTCTCTAGTGAAAGATAAAAAACTGAGTATACATTGGAAATTATTCTTCTTCTTCTTCTTCTTCTTCTTCTTCTTCTTCTTCTTCTTCTTCTTCTTCCTTGTCAACCTATGTAATCATGTTGCCCATTGGCACCATGCTGCTAGCTGACACATTTCCTGATGCCTTTCATATGTTTTTAGAAAGTGAGTGAGGTTAGATGTAGCTTTTTGGATCTTTAATGTTTACAGTATAACGTTGAAAAAGGCTTTATGTAAAGTACCTGAGCAAACAGTGGATGGATATTCTAAAAAGACAGGGGCCTTTTGATTCTGACTAAACACAGTTGGGCTGCACAGCTTAACTGCTTAATGCACTTAACTGGAAATTCTATTCCATTCACTAGATCTTCCCAGTTTTAATGTATTTTTTCCAATTCATCTGGAAGTTAATAGTAACATCACTACATTAACTTTTGTTCATTCTTCAGAGTTTCTGCTTGAAATGCTGAAGACCTACTTTCAGAGTTACAGGTGACAACACCTCTCTCTTGACTTTTTGTGGGTGGCTTTGCCACCCACAGCAGCCAATTTGTGGCTGAGCCCAAAATTCTCAGTCAATATTCCAAAGATCATTGAAGGCTGAAAAAATGTCAGAGACCTCTAGCATACATGACAGACATGCTCTGATGTGACATGATTGGCATCGGGATTGATTTGGGTAGCATTTAAGGCACTGTTTTCAGCTCCTACATCTTAGGCCCAGTACTTTAGGAGAAGGTAACTGTCTGGTTACTACTATTTGTTTGATAAGATGTAGTTTCTCACAGTAATTGATTATCATTTGGATACACATACAAACACACAATCACAAAGAAAAGCAGTGGCTACAGGGAAAGCTAATCTATTTGACCATTTTCTAGGTGGAAAAAACCAGTCATTTAGGCCTCCACTTTGTCTGAATCTGTATTGTCCGAAGACTACTTTGACATTTTAGCAAAGCAACAGAATCAGCTGGCCTGTTAGAACTTTGAAGACCCCAGATTCTCCTGTCTGCAAATTGAGTTTACAGGGTAGCAGGTGTGGTGCCCAGAAGCGGTCCTCAGTGGGATGCAATTATCTCTAGCCAAATTGTCAAAATGTCTGGTTTCTTCTTAGTTTGCAAGGGATTTCCTGATGGCACTAGCAAGGTAAACAATAAGCACTTCATTGAAGTAATATGACCCAATGACTTAATCATCAGAACTGCTCCTAGAAATAGACATGGTTTAGATGATCATTTCTATGCCCTTTCCCCATTCTGTTTTACTGTAGGTTTCCTTAAGCGGTTGCTCTCATATGTTGTTTCTTTTAAAAATCACTTCTATGTATAATATTGTGCCTTATTCCTTCTCTTTGGGCAATACTTCATTTCTGGTTTCTTGATCTGAAGAAAATCTCACAGATGAAAAATCTGTTAGCTAACAGCCACGCTCGGTGCAATATAAATGTTGTTTGTTGAAATTAAATAATAATCAAGTCGCCTTTAATATGATAGGACATTTGATTTTTACTCTCAAATTATAAAATGAACAAAATCTTTTAAGACCGCTTTATATTCTTTTGATCTTTTGATCAATTTTGCACATCAAAACACTGCTGGGAAATGAATTCTAATTGAGGAGAAGGAGGAAGACATTTCCCTTAATCTTGGGGGTGGTGGTTTTGTTGTTGTTTTTAAGCAGTGAACGAACGCAGTCATCAGCCACATGAGGAAAGATGAGACAAAAAAGTGATGTGATATAATATGGTGGATGGAAAAGTGGTAATCTGTAGCTGGAAGGGCAGTGTTGTCATCGAGATGCTGCTAGTACTGCTGCTGCTGCTGTTGCTGCCCTGTTGTATAGTATGTAGGATGTCCTCCATTAATTGCTCCATATGTGATGATCCCTTTCCTATTCCTCACAATTTTTATCAGCCAGGGGACCTTCATATTGGTGGGATCGCTGCTCAAGTTGCTTTCTTTAATAACCTTCCATCTTTCATAGAACACCCTGCACGTATGGTGATTGATGAACCTATGTAAGGATCTTTTTTTTTTCTTTCTCGAATTTAATTTGATCATAGACTCAGGTGGGTAGCCATGTTGGTCTGAAGCAGCAGGATAAAGTTTGAGTCCAACAAAGTTTTATTTAAGGTGTAAAATTTTGTGTGCAAACACACTTCCTCAGTTTCAGACAAGAAGACGGGGGTGGGGTGGGGATGGAAGTATCAGGAGGGAACAGTCAGAGTTAAGATTCATAAGTGAAGCTGAGATTGTGGCAAGATCCATGAATGGCAGCAAATTAGCACACAAATGTGAGTACAAAGCCTGAGTCCAGCGGCAACCCCAAGACCAACCAAGCTCAACCCTGGGTACATGTGAGAACAGAGAGGTTCTGCATTTGTCGATGCACACATCTTCAAATATATAGGAACACCTTTCCTCAAATATTACATACATATGGGGGGGTTAGTTTCCAGGAAGAGCTAATTAGAGTCAAGTTGCATAAGTAACTGTGGCACTGGACTCAAACTTTTCACACATCTGTTTTTAACTCTTTTGTTAATTCTGTATGCAATTTTGCTGCTATTTACATGTCTTACCAAATGTGTTATTCCAATCTTAGCTGTACTTCTTGCTCAGTTACTTATGCACCTTGACTCTAACTAGCTCTTCCTAGAAACTAACCCCCCTACCTGTATGTAATATTTCCTGAAATTTCTCATTTGGGAATATAAACTCTAACTTCTGGTGTTGCCAATTAATTGTAATTTATTATATTACGGTCCATGACCAGATCCAGTTAAAAAACAAACATTATTCAGACATTCAAATATACAGATTAAGAACTCCAATTAAAATACAGGAATAGAAGATTTTACAATAAATAAATAGATTTATATTAAAAGGAGAAAAATAGATTGTAAAATACATAAAATAGCATCATAAGTGACCATTTTTAAGATTTGAACCAATAGATTTAAGAGGAACAAGGGCTGTATAGTGTTGCCAAGTACATTTCAGTTGGTCTAAAATTAAAAAATCTGTGCTAATGCCATTTCTGCTGTGGAATAACCAGGAATAAACCTGACAAATGGCTTGGAGTCATAATAGATTTTAATTTATCTTACTGCTTCAAAATTGTAGATCTATCTTTCCTTTTATCTATTTAAATACTGAATCTCTTGTTCCTGTAAACTTAAAAGGTTAATCTTTCTTATATTGTCTGACCACAAATATGCTGTGTATAATCTTTGAATAAATCTTTGAATAAATTAGTCAATGATGTACAAATGGCTGGCACATAAAAAATTACAGGCATGTAAAAAATTGAATGAACAAAACAGATTTCTCTGTACCTGTAAAATGTCTACAGGCAGTTTTCTCTCCCATGCAACCAAGTTTAAAATTTGTATTTATGCAAGTTGCTAAAGGCACAGCTAAAGAAACCAATTCATAAAGTGGAAGTTCAGCTAGGAGGATGAACAGTGTAAATGCAATTTTGGTTCCTTTCCTAAATATCCTCTTTGCAGGTCAGTAACAAAAAACTACCAGCACATTTTGGCCTTGGCATTTGCTGTCAAAAAGCTGAATGAGAATCCCAACTTCTTTCCAAACATCAGTTTGGGTTTCTACATCCTCAACAGTTACAACCTTGGAAGGATGACTTTTAAGGCCACCCTCAGCTTACTTTCTGCACAGCAGATGCTGGTCCCTAACTTCAGCTGTGATAACCTGCAGAAAATTAGAGCTGTCATTGGAGGGCTCTTGTTTGAAACCTCTGCTCATATGGCCTCTGTTCTGAACACCTACAAGACTCCTCAGGTAAGCCATAAGCAGGGCAGTACATAGAGTTCACAATTCTGGCATATTATTGAATAGTCTGATTCCATTCATATGAAAACATATGACAACGTGTTTTCTTTCAGCTCACTCATGGGTCATTTTCCCTTCCAGAAGGTGACGAACAACAATTTTCTTCCATATATCAGATGGTGCCCAAAGAAACCTACCAGTACAGGGGAGTTGTACACTTACTTCATCATTTTAGATGGACTTGGATTGGGCTCCTGGCAATGGATGATGACAACGGAAACAAGTTTTTGCAGAGAATAGTACCTATTCTCTCTGAGAATAGCATTTGTTTTGCATTCACACACAAATTACCAACATTAACTTACATGAAAGAGGTGGCAGAATTGTTTGTAAAACAGGCTGAATGGTATCCAGTTCTTATGGACAGAAAAACCAATGTATTTTATGTGTATGGTGAACCTCCAGCCATGATGCTTTTAAGGATCACTCTTTGTCTAGCTCCTTTCATTTTCTTGCCTCCTCTGGGTAAAGTGTGGATAGTGACATCACACTGGGACTTTGAGTCATTCTCTGTCCAAAGAATTGTAGATACAGAATCCCTCCATGGTGCCCTATCCTTTACAGTCCATTCCAATCAACCACCTGGATTCCAAAAATTCCTTCAGAGCATAAGACCTTCCTGGGCTGGAGGAGACGGTTTCATTCAGAACTTTTGGGAGCAAGCATTCAGCTGTTCATTGAACCATGAAGAGGAGGAAATTAAAAAAATCTGCAGTGGGGAGGAGAAACTGGAGAGCCTTCCTGGGACTGTGTTTGAAATGCATATGACTGGCCACAGCTACAATGTCTACAATGCTGTCTATGCTGTGGCACATGCTTTGCATGACATCCACATACATGGATCCAAATGCAGAAGACTGGTCAAAGGTGGGAAGCTGGGTGTTCTCAATATGCAGCCATGGCAGGTACAGAAATTATTTAAACTGGTCATCATGTCATCTACAGATAGATGGAACTCTTCTTTTTCTTCTTCCACTTTGCACATTCAGTATTCCCACCAACATAATAAATGCTTACACATTTTGAAAACTCATTATCTGTGTGTATGTGTGTGTTGTCTGAATCTTTCTTAACCTGTCAGCCATTTTTTCTGTATTGTAACTATTCTTTCAGTTTAATTTTCTTTTTCAATCTAGTTACACAACTTTTTAAGGAGAATCTTGTTCAACAATAGTGTCGGTGATACCATACAGTTTGATCAAGATGGAGAATTAGTTACAGTTTTCGATGTTACCAATTGGGTTACTTTCTCAAATGGGTCATTTGCAAGAGTCAAAGTGGGACAACTGGATCCTCATGCCCCTTCAGACAAACAGCTGACTCTTAATGATGTTCAAATTGTGTGGCATAGAAGCTTTAACCAGGTGAGACATAGAGATTGGTTTTTGGTTTTCTGAACTCAATTTCTTCTTTTGTGCTCAAGCCAAAACTGGTTGAAACAGTTTCAGTAACTGGAATGTAATACAAGTAACTAAAATAAGGGATCTTGGTGATAGGAGTCATATTTTGGAAAAATCTGCTCTAGAGGGAGAAGTAAGACACCAGATCCCTTGGTTGTTATACTTTCAACTTTGTTTTTTATATTTTTCATCATTAGTTAAGAAATCCCTGCAAAGACCATTAACTGATTTTGAATTGTTATTAAGGAAGTTTGATTGAAGTACTACCTATCTTACTGTCTTTAGAATTTAGAGATTTAAATCAGTATCAAAAACTTGTATTGTAGTGATAGAATAGAGGGAATAGATTGGGAGGGAATATGGACTTTAAATAGCTTCACTTCAAAGATTTTCTATATTTGTTATCAAAGTTTTTAATTATATTCAAGATGGTATTATACTCCTATACCTTCATATTCCAAACATTGCTGGAAAAAATGCAGCAAAGTTGCTGTTTTACTGCATTGTTGGTGGTCTTGTGAAACCATTAATACCTATTGGAAAGATATATTTAGAGAAATCAAACAGATTACTAAACAAGACTTACCTTTTCTTCCTGAAATGACCCTCCTGGATTTTTGGCTCTCTTCTACCTGTACAAAAACAGAATTAGAAAGTTATCTCACTATTATTAGCAGTTGCATGTGTCGTAATTGCATTAAATTGGAAAAGCAGTCATATCCCTACGGTTAATAATTGGAGAACATGTCTTTAGGATTATTTATTTATGCACAAAATTGTGGTTAATTTAAATATGCCAACCGACAATAATTTAGCAGAAAAGTTTATGCAGACACGGTATTTGAATATTTGTCGGAATGTGAGGTTTTGCCAAAGAATTCTTAGTACCAAAAATGGTTATTGTTTTGAGCCAGCTAATTGATTGTTATATTTTTTGTTAAATGATTCATATAGCATCTTTACTGGTAAGCAGTATATAAGAGTTTTACTAAAGTTTTAGATACTTAAAATCTTTTAGGTAATACTCATCTTTGCTGGGGGGGGGGTGCTGAGGTGAAGTACTGTCCCCTTCCCACGTCCGTGTCCCACCCGACCCCAGCTAGATAGGCTAGTGGAGAGTGGCTGTTGGCAGGCAGTGCCCCCTCTCCCTCCATGCCTCCACTGTAGGAGATGCCTGAGAGGCAGCCACAGACGAGGAGTTTGCACATGCTCTGAGGGACAATAATAGTGGTGCACTTTTCTAGCTCTTTCAGGCATCTCCCAGCAGATTGGGGTGGGAGGCAGAAGGGGGGATAGGACCCCTGATGTGTGCGTGCATGACAGTCCACCCCTCCCTACAACACCCCCTTCCTCTGCCATGTGCACACTTGCTCCCCTCTCAGTCAGGCACCTCCATTCCTTTTCTCCCCAGCCCCTTCTCCATCCAGTGCCCCCCCACCAAAAGTAATCTAGCTATAGGACTGAATATAAACCGTAGAAAATTCCTCTGATACTTTTTCGAATTCCAGTTGGACCTTGACAGACTATGGGGCCTACTGATTCTATTTAGGAATTCAGCCACTTTATTTGAGACAATGGTCAAGGATCAGGGAATACCCAACTAAAGCATATATAAGCACTTTCTATCACTTGAATAATGAATATCATTGGTACCACTTCAGAGCTACTCCATAGCCAGCTGTTGACTTCAGTGGCAGAGAACAGGACTTTCACATTACCTTTCTCTATTTACCAAGAGTAAAGATACTAGTGAACTGCCTTCCATAAAAGAATTCTCCTTCATTAACAGGATTGTAGAGAACAGAAATCCCTTACCATATAGAAATTTCTTAAGTCCCAGTTTAATGTTGTTTTGGGGTATGCTTCGACTATTTATATTTTGGGTTTGTATTTTTTGTGTGCGTGCTTCATGGTCAAGGTCCAGTGAAAGGCAATACACTCCTAAAAGAAGGGGATACAGTTAAAATAATTGTAATTTCTATTCTGAGATTAGTGCTGTTTCTTAAATAAACGTCTTGGTCCCAATCCCCATTTGCACAGAATTCTGTATTTGACAAATCTGGAAGATGGAGAACCCTTGCCACTTTTTGCATAGACTTCAGCAGGTGAAACTAGGCATCCTAAGAGTAAAGAAGAAAAGGCCCTTCATGGAGATTGGAATCCCCTAGGAGGGCAGGGTAGAAATGTGCCCTGTAGGTTAGAGCAGGCAGATTCTGCCACAGTTCTGGTAGAAAGTACCATCAAGTTGCAGTTGTCATGAGTGATCCCATAGGATTTTCAAGGCACGAGATGAACAGAGATGGTTTGCTATTTCTTGCCTTTGTGTAGCACCCCTAGGCTTCCCTGGTCGCATTCCTGTCCAAGAATTAACCAGGGCCTACCGTCCTTGGGAGGAAAGTGATGGCGAACCTAAACAGCATGATAAAAAGTAGAGACATCACCCTGCCAACAAAAGTTTGCATGGTCAAAGCAATGGTATTCCCAGTAGTCATGTATGGCTGCGAGAGTTGGACTATAAGGAAGGCCGAGCGCTGAAGAATAGATTCTTTTGAACTATGGTGCTGGAAAAGACACTTGAGAGTCCCTTGGACTGCAAGAAGATCAAATCAGTCACTCCTAAAAGAAATCAACCCTGACTGTTCCCTGGAAGGCCAGATAATGAAACTGAAGCTCAAATACTTTGGCCACCAAATGAGAAGGGAGCACTCACTGGAGAAGACCCTGATGCTGGGAAAGATTGAAGGTCAAAGAAGACGGGGACGGCAAAGGATGAGATGGTTAGACAGTGTCATAGATGCAACAAACATGAAATTGAGCAAACTTCAGAGGACAACGGAAGACAGGAAGGCCTGGCATGATCTGGTCCATGGGGTCCCTAAGAGTCGGACTTGACAGTGCGACTGAACAACAACACCATCCTTAGCTCCTGAGATGTGGTAAAATCATACAAGCCTGAGGTGCATATACGTTGTTCAAATGTCCTTCATTTTTAATTGCTTATTTTCATCTAAATATTTACATTTTCTGTCATACCAAAAGTAGAGCATTTTGATGGCTACCAATCTGCTTTGTGTACCTTCATTGATCACACATCAGTCACTAAGTTAATGCCAATCATGACAGAAAGCCCCGTGCTTCGTACAAAGTGGAAGTTTGGCCTCTCTGATGCCATCATTTCTTGCTGAAAACCCACTTATGTAGGCCACCAATTCTCAAAATTACTTGATACTACTAACCCCCTTTCAATTGATGGATAGGTGCTTCCCATTTCTGTCTGCAATGACCAATGCCAGCCTGGTTACAGCAAAACAAAGAAGGAGGGAGAGAAATTTTGCTGCTATAATTGTACTCGATGTTCAGAAGGGATGATCTCTGAGCAGAAAGGTAGGAGGCACACTGTAAAGCATTCTTGTCTAGCTGGCAGATATTTAATTAACTATTTAAATAATTAAAATGTGCCCAGGTATGCTATGCTGCCATTTGATATGAAAAAATAAGGGGAGGAAATTTTTTAATGGCAAAGAATGTTTATTCACCACCTCTGAAATGCTGGGAATACTAAAGATGCTTAAAGGACCTCGAAAATTATGACTGTTGCTTATTTATTCATGCCTTTCTCCAAGGTTCAAGTTGTCTTGCAGTAATATTCCCCAGCTAAAATCAAACATAAAATAAGAAACCTCACATCTCCCCCACCCCCTTGATGCTTGCCAACAACTCTGGATAACAGACAAGCCATCCATTTTCTCATGAAGATCTCTAAGGAGGGCCTCCATCACCTGTTCAGGGAACCCATTATACAGAGCTGGAGCCATGATGGAAAAACCTGCTGCTGCTGTCTCATCACTGTAGTTGATATATAGGGACATATGGAAGAAGATGGTCCTTTAAATATGTGAGTCCCAGGACATGAAGGTCTTATGAACAGCACCTTGAACTGAACTAAGAAACAAACTGGCAGCCAACATAGCTTTTTCACGTATGTTCTCAGCAGCTATTCCCTAATAATAGTCCAGATGACCATTCTGGATCAGTTTTAGTTTCTGGGTTATCTTGAGAGCAGATATACATAGATTACATTGCAAAGATATGGCACCCTCATTTCCATAAATGTCCATCATAGGCCCAGGGGTCATTTCCTGCAGGAGCGCACAGGAGCGGAGCTCCGGCAGTAAAGAGCCCAGGGGGCGGGCACATGCAACAAGCCCCACCCCCTGCTTCCAGCAGCCCTCAGTCAGAGCAAGAAGCAGCCAGGTAAGCTGCAGAACCAACTGGTCCAAAAAAGTCCAGTGGCACCTTTAAGACCAAGTTTTATTCAGGTACAAGCTCTCCCTCCTCTGCAAGGACAGATCTGCACATTCTACCTCCCCCCCCCCAATAGCTAGAAATCCAAAACAGTCCAGTGGAGCCTGAGCGGTGGGTGTTGCCTTCTGACACACTGGCAGGGGGTGTGGCATATGCAAATAAGTTATGCTAATGAGTTATGCTAATGAGGTCCTGCACCTCTTTTTCTACGAAATGACCCCTGCATAGGCCTAAAGGCACCTCTTTCATAGAACTAATACAGTTTGAAATTTAGAGGATCTGATCATTTATTTATTTGTTTGTTTTTTTTGTTTATTTATTTATTTATTTATTGCATTTATATCCCACTCATCTTGTAAATGGGCTCAGAACGGGTTACAACATTTTAATAAGTACAACAAAATTTAAAACACATTAAAACATAAAATCAGAAGTCATGCTTGCCGTAGGGAGAATGCAGCCCATTGGTGTAAGTAGGTATGGCTGGTTATCAGTAGGTGGGAGAATGCAACCTCAGGGGGCCATATGTGGACACCCACTGCCTCAGCCAAAGGCCTGGCAGAACAGCTCCATCTTGCAGGCCCTGCGGAATTGCATAAGATCACCATGGAAGCCTCTATCAGCTCCAGTTACATTGGGTTTCCCAATAACAATTGAGCTGATAGAGGAAGATTTGGCAGAAAGTTCAGGTTCTTATGACTCAATTTAGACCTTTGAATCTGAAGGACCATTCTTCCCACCTCCTTCTGCCTTTCTTCCATCTCATATAGATTTTAATGGTACTTTTGCTTGTGGATGCTGTGGATCTCAGGGGTTGGTATGGGTTGTCTTACAAATAGATACAGTCACTTTGTGACTAGAATGAGAGATTGTCTTCATGTCTCCTAGCCTCCCACTTCTATGTGGCTTTCTGAGTGAATGTTACAGTAGAATTAGAGATACAAATAGCGACTTCCATGAAGTGTTGTCCACACAATGTGTTGTGTAAAGGGAAGGAAGAAGACAGGCAGAATCTTGACAACTATGCATTAGATGTTAGGCTCACTACCAACCGTGCTAAAAATAGCATCAGCTAAAGCCATGACCATTTATGAGCTGAGGTCAAAGCAGAAGTGAATTAAGCTCTTCTCTAGTTTATGTGGAAAAAATTATCTTGTAGTTCTCAAAATGATTTATTTGTTCTTCAGACATGGAAATCTGTGACAAATGTCTACATGTTTACTATCCCATCCTGAATCACTGCATTCCCACGGTTGCAAGCTACCTCTCCAACAAATAGTACTTAGCAATCATCTTAGCTATGCAGTACTATCATCGAACCAAATATTCATCCACATCCTTTTGCCAAATGTAGACCTCAGAACAAGAGGAAGGATGGAGTGAAAGAGACTCTTCTATCCCCTGCCTGAACAGTCTGACAGGCTGTCTACCTAGCAAGACATGAGCACAATTAGTTATACCATTACCCCAAACATTGCCATGGAAATAGAGAGGGGAGGGAAGAGGGGGTGGAAGAAAGGAGCTGCAGTATTTTCTAGCTTGTGTATATCATGGTCACCTAGATAATGGTCTTTTTATGCCTTCAGATATGGATGCCTGTGTCAAATGTCCAGATGATCATTATCCCAGTGAAGGCCATAATGAATGCATCCCCAAGATCACAAGCTACCTTTCCTACAGAGAGAATTTAGGGATCATCTTAGCCCTGATGGCTGCATCTTTCTCATTGGTCACGTTGTTTGTGCTTGGAACCTTCCTGAAATACAAGGACACTCCCATTGTCAAAGCCAACAACCGAAGCCTCACCTACATTCTCCTCGTCTCCCTCCTGCTTTGCTTCCTCAGCACCTTGCTCTTCATTGGACAGCCAGGGGAGGTGACCTGCCTTCTGCGCCAAACTACTTTTGGAATCATCTTCAGTGTGTCCCTTTCCAGCATGCTGGCCAAAAGCATTACTGTGGTTGTGGCCTTTGAAGCTACCAGACCAGGATCTCGTATGAGGCATTGGGTGGGCAAAAAAATGGCACACTCTATTGTCCTTTCTGGGTCCTTTATTCAAATACTGATTTGTACTCTTTGGCTAAGTACTTGTCCTCCATTCCCAGATAAGGATATGCATTCATTGCCAGGGGAAATCATACTGGAATGTAAAGAGGGCTCTGCTACCATGTTTTACTCTGTCCTTGGCTATCTGGGCTTTCTGTCCATTGTCAGCTTCACTGTGGCTTTTCTATCCAGCAAGTTACCAGACAGTTTCAATGAAGCCAAGTTCATTACTTTCAGCATATTGGTCTTTTGCAGTGTTTGGTTATCCTTTGTTCCAACGTATTTGAGTTCCAAGGGGAAGTACATGTTGGCTGTGCATATCTTCTCTATCTTGGCCTCCAGTGCTGGCTTACTGAGTTGTATATTTTTCCCTAAATGTTACATCATTTTGCTGAGGCCAGAGATGAACAGTCGGGAGCAGCTACTAAGGAAAGTGTGAAAATTTCAGCCTTCTTTCTTGAAGGCAAGTTTTTGGCAGAAGGCTGATGGTTGCATGTGTAAAGAAACAAGGATTTGTTATTTATTCCCTACTACCTAGAGGCATAGGTCAGAACCCTGGTTCTGTAGTTAGGTGGCAGTTCAGATTCAAGAAAAAAATGACAAGAGCTTTTTTGAATAATCATAGTTTTAACACAGGGAAGGTTTTCATGCAGGTGAAGCTGCAAAGGTTTTTTTTTAAACTAACATTTTTTATTTTTAACATTTCTGACAGTTCTAACAAACAACAATTAATCTTTGTGGTTACAGTAACATCCTGCAAAAATTCACTGAGCTTGTACAGAGTTATAACCTGTTTCTTGACTTACAATACATCACACAGTACAGAACAGAGTCTATCCTGGCAGTATATATGCAATAGACATGAATATATATGCAATAGACATGAATGAAGAATTTTTGAATCATTCTGAACTATTGAAATGGTAAGACAAAAAACATTTTATCAACATACACTGACTATTACTATAAAACCGTATACCAATTGAAAGATTTGAGTAAAAATCTTTTTAATTTAACATTCCTTTCCCTTTATGGAGCTGCGGTGGCTCAAGTGGTTAAGACGCTGAACTGCAGGCTGTGGAAGGTCGGTAGTTAGCAGTTCGAGACCCGGGTGCCGCAAGACGGAGTGAGCTCCCGTCTCTAGTTCCAGCTCCTGCCAACCTAGCAGTTCAAAAGCAAGAAATTGCAAGTAGATAAATAGGTACCACTTCAGTGGGAAGGTAACAGCGTTCCGTGCGCCTTGGTGTTTAGTCATGCCGGCCACATGACCACGGAAACGTCTTCGGACAGCGCTGGCTCTTCGGCTTTGAAACGGAGATGAGCACCGCAACCCTAGAGTCGGATTCGACTGGCTTTCGAGCAAGGGAACCTTTACCTTTACCTTTCCCTTTCCCACTGTTTATTTCTTGTTTAACAGTTTCATGAGCACCAATGTGGATGTGTGGTTCATATTTTTTTATCAAGTTTTGATTATTTAAATTGTATTAAAGAGTACTATACATACAGAGATTAAACTCAGAAATAAAATGTACAATAAATAGTACTATATGTACACAGAAATTAAATTCAGAAATGGAATATAAAATAAAGACCCTCTTTGACAAAATGACTTCACCTTTGTGTTACTGGTTTCCAAATCAGTTCAATCTGTTGTCTTTCCTTCCCATTCCTTAAAGCTATTTTTTTTCCTTTCATTTGTGGATAGTGGGAGCTGATTCTTGTTTCCCATGCTTTGTAAACCAGATTCTAGCAGCCGTGACAAGATGTAAAGTTATTTTTAGGAACTGTTGGCACACAATCAGATAAGTGTCAGTTGTCAAAGAGAAATCAGTTACAAAGCTCACCTTCAATGCATCTGAACAAGACTACCAATTCTTTTTTTTTTGGCATGTATTCATGTACACAACAGGAGGTATGAGACTTATGACAAGTATTGTCCAAAATACCCAAAATACGCAGAACTCTGTTAGAGGAGTGATGGTCAGTTCTAGAAAATGACTTGAAAGCATAACAAAACCCTGTAAAGTCAATTCAAATAATGGCAGGTCAAAAAGAAAATGTTCAAAATACTGTGCCTGGACATTAGTCAAGTAAAGGATTTATGATACAGATAACCAGAATTTGCATGCTGTGGTGTGCAGTGATTGTTCACCTTTATCTTTGGATTTAAACTTTCCTGTACTTAAGAAATATGCAAGCTTTTAAAAAACCTTATATGTACCAACATATGGGGAAGACAGTGATTATTGTGTCATAATATTTTATTACAAGTATATGTCTTCAAATTTTTGATGTTGTCTTTGTAGTGCTGTTTTTTGCAATTATGGATTATAGAATTGCTTCCTTGTTTGTTCCAGTTGTACTATTATGAATGCATAGTGTGTATTCAGGACCAATGTAAACAGTTACATTATCCTGAATTATGCACAGAACCAGGTTTGCAGTTCCAGAAAAGCAATTTTTGCTTTTTTCCCCTTAAGGCAAGCAGTCCAATGAGTATGAACTGGTCAGGAAGGACAACACAGTTAGCCTTTTAAAGAGAGGTGCAAAATATCGAGCTGGGTTCTATGTACGTTAGAATACTTCAGATGTATTTTCTAATATCAAAAGTAAAGCCAGTTCTATTAGGAGGTCAGTCTGATAGTCATTTCCATTATTTCAAAAGTAAGATGTGGCAGCTATGGGGAGTTAAGAGAAAGCATATAACTCTGAGATAGCAGCATACTTCCAAAAAAACTACCCTTGACCCAGGAGATCTCAATAATTATCAACCAGTCTTAACATTCCATTGTTGAGCAAGGTGATTTAACAGGTGGTGGCTTGACAAGCTTTCCTGGATGAGGCCAAATTTCTAGACCCCTTCCAATCTAGACTGCCTATATAGACTTAGGAGACATTGTTCTGTGGTGGTTCTGGACCTACCTGGAGGGTAGATTACAGAAGATGGTACTGGGGAACTGCTGTTCAGCCCTTTGGCCTAGGGGGACCCTCAAGATTCCATCTTTTCCCCTATGCTATCCTTGCCCCCCCCCAACTACCTAAAAGTCAAATAAATCCCCCGCTAAGCCAATTTGAAATGCATGGATGCAAACTATTATTTTAATTTTATGTTAAAACATTGTTTTTAATGTGATGGGGTCTACAAAGAACATGATGATGGGAGCTAGTTTTCTAAGGTAAATATTTTCCAAGGTAAACATTTCCTCCATCTTCCTTCTGCACATGAACATTGGATGCTTTCACAGCATGTAGAGTTCCACTCCAAGAAAATAGTCTAGTATTATAGAAGGCTGGCAGTGGTGACTGTGTTACTTTCCCAGTGCTGCCAATAGATCTCACTATACATAAGACACCACTTGCCTCAAATCCCCAGTCTGAGACCCCCCCCATTTTAAAAATAAGGCTTGCCTGCCACTTTTTGTATGGCTGACAAACACTTGAATTTAAATAAGATAAAATTAAATAAAATGGATTGATTCAGAGCCCTTGAGGGGAGGTAGAACTATTAGGGAGGATTGCCACACTAAAACATTTGGATGTGAATTTCTCCACCACCATTTAACAAGGATGAATTTTTAAAAGGATTTTCCATCTCAAACAAGGGAACTTATATCCCCAGTATCAGTCATTAAGGATGGGCATGAACTGCAAAAAACCCTGAATTTTTAACTCAAACTGGGCTGGTTCATGTTTCAATTTCTTGGACAGAGCTGTGCCACTGCACACAATCTAGTTTAATAATTTCAAGAAGCAAAAGATGAAGGCTGAAGGCAGGCATAGAGGTGTCCAAGGCTGAGCTGGGATGATGCAGGATGATGCAGGAAAATAGTTTCACTCTTTTACCTCATTCAGGATGCTTTCTAATTATAGTGCTTGTACTCAGATAGATAAGCAGACAAGCAGAAGTCAAAGTGATTCCAAACCTCAGAGTTCAGTCTTCAATGAGTGTGATTATCTGTGGAAGCTGAATGGCATTGGTAATATGAATGAATGTTCTTGCTCATATAAGTGCTGCAGTAAGGACTCCTGTCTCCAACTGTAGCTATCTGCCCATTATACAACACTGAATCCCACTAACAAATCAAGTATGCAAAACAAAACAGGTGGTTTGGACCCCAATGGTTTGGACCCCAATTATTGTGACTGGAAAAAAGGTTGCCGAACAGCAGTTTCCTGCCATCTCCTATAGTTCCCCCTTCCCAAGTGAATTCCTGGAGCTCAACTGTCTCATATACACCACAAGGGCAAAGCAGAAATATTGACCAGGAGGTGGGAATCCACAAAATTCCCTGTGTCCCAACCACTGAAGTACCATTCTACAAAAGGTTCATTGAATATGCTGTAATTCTGAGATAGTACAGAAGAAAAAGTGCTGAATAAATAATGAACAATCAGAAAAATCAAAATATTTATTAGGCTCACATCGGCCCCGGTCATACGGGCCGGAAAATGCGCGGGGGGGGGGAGCATGGCTGTTTGCCCCGGAACAAAATAACGCGTGACAGTGCGATCAGGCATCCAGTTGCGGTCCTGTTGAGGTCCCGTGGGTAGGGGGGAGGTGCTGATCACACCACACGGCAAAGAAGCGGGGCGGCGCAGCAAACGGGGTTGTGTTTTTTAAAAAAAACTGAAATGTGCGCATGCTCCATTGGGTGCTTGTGTGCATCCCATGGAGACTTGGGGGAAAAAAAAACCTTTTTGCGAGAGGACATGGGCGGGCGCCGGATGCCACCGGAAACGTGACCAGACACCCGCCCTTTCCCTGCGGTTTCCGGAAACTAGTAACTTGGAGGTACTAGTTTTTTACCCCACATCTTCGGCGGAAAACCTTGGGTGAGCCATGGGAACTCTACGCTTCCCAGATGTGGCAGTGTGATTGCGCCCGGAAAATCCGCCTATCTTCCGTCTCTGTAGCATGGGTAATGCTCCATGTGACCGGGGCCATCATTAGTTAGATAATAGAAACCAGTAGTTTTTGAAGGAGAACTGGATGCAAACTATTATTTTAATTTTATGTTAAAACATTGTTTTTAATGTGATGGGTTCTACAAGGAACATTATGATGGGAGCTAGTTTTCTAAGGTAAATATTTTCCAAGGTAAACATTTCCTCCATCTTCCTTCTGCACATGAACATTGGATGCTTTCACAGCATGTAGAGTTCCACTCCAAGAAAGTAGTCTAGTCTCTCCCTTATAATAAAGCAGTAGTGGGCACCAACGTTCTAAAATACCCGCCTTTAGTGTTTGGCCGGAAGAACTGCCACTCAGAAGACACTGGCTGGGTTGACTGGATGCTTTGTGCAGTCCCGCCCAGCGTTTCAAGGTCTTTTACATATGGAAGCTGATTGGATTTCACTCCATTCCACACCTCAAACCCCCCCTCCCGCAAGGCAGTTGGAATTTTCAGTTGCATATGGGAACTACTGTATTCTGAGGTAACATATGTCCTCACTCACAACACATCACTTCCCCTTTAAAAGAAACAAACCCAATAACACAATCACGCCACACCACAAAGAAGACAGATCACACCACAAGCAGAATACCTCAAGGCAAAAAATGATAGGAAAAGGTGCCAGCAGTCACCCCATTACTGCCACAGATGGTGTGCAGGTCCCAGGTTCATGTTTTAAAAGCTGCCTGGGGGACTATGGACCATTCACACACTTTCAACCATAACATACCTCATAGGGTAGTTGTGCGGATCATACGGGGGAGAGGAGAATGATGTCAGCTGCTTTGGTGCCGATGCCTCCGTCGCCTGGCTGGAGTGGCCGCGGGGGAGTCTGGAGTCGGGCGGCCGCTGGTGGGAGCCGCGGGTGCCCGGGCCGAGATTGGGGGGGCAAGGCGGGCGACAGAAGGCCGATGCCTCCGTCGCCCGGCCCTCTACAGAATCCACCCCCCAAACCTCCAGGTATTTCCCTCCTTAGAGCTGGCAACCCTACATTCCCCTCAGTGCCTGTTGGTAGGCAACTAAGCTTGGTCCTGTCACCTACTTTGGCCTTTGGGAGAAAACACATTGGGGCCAGTCCTGATAGGGTTGCCAACTCCAGATGGGAAATTCCTGGAGATTTGAGGGATGGAGCCTGAAGAGGGTGAGGTTTGAGGAGGGGTGGGACCTCAGACAGGTACACTGCCATAGACTCCACCCTCCAAACCAGTCAGTCCCACATAGGGAACCATTGTTGCCAATCTCCAGGTGAGGGCTGGAGAGCACTCAGTATTACAACTGCTCTGCAGAAGGGAGGGCAGAAGTCAGCTGAAGTCAAAGGGGCAGATAATGGTAGGTTGGTGGCTAGCTGGGAAGGAGATGGGGTTGCCAACTACATGCTGACAAATTCCTGGGGATTTGAGGGGTGGAGCCTGGAGAGGGTGGGGTTTGCAGAGGGGTGGGACCTCAGACAGGTAGAATGCCATAGACTCCACCCTCCAAACCAGCCATTTTGTCCTGGGTAACAATTGCTGCCAATCTCCAGGTGAGGGCTACAGATTACTCACAATTACAACTGCTCTTCAGGTAGCAGAGATCAGTTCCTCTGGAGAAAACAGTGGACTCTGTCATTATACCCTGCTGAGGTCACCACAGCAAATTGACACTGTTTGCCCAAAGCCAGAGCACTCCCCCAGAGCCTCTTTCTAGATCTCGTTGTATTGCTTTCACTACGGGCTTTACTGCTAGTATTATAGAAGGCTGGCAGTGGTGACTGTGTTACTTTCCCAGTGCTTCCAATAGATCTCACTATACATAAGACACCACTTGCCTAGAATGATGAGATAAGAGCTCAACACCACAAACATGACTTAACACTCAGGAGGTGTCCCAGTATAATAAATATCCCTTGTTCCAGGTTATGGTGTCTTCATTACCACAAGTCTTGCTTATTAATAGAGACAATATAAACAGGTTGGCATTTGGCCATTTCTCCACAGGTTGACCTCCAGCCTACTTATTTATGAAGTTTATTGACATTAGAGTACTAGAATATTATTTCTTCATTGAAAATAATGGCATAATGCTCAGAAGCATCTTTTTAAAAATTTTATTGTTTTTCCATTACTACATCACTAACTACTACAAGGATAGGGGAGTGAGGCTCTAATACTATACACTACAATTGTACTAGGGTGTGGGGGAATGGAGCTAACAGGTAACATGATCTGGATTACATGGATTTGTAACTAAATCACCTACTTATATTAAGATAACATTGTAAATAAAGTTTTAAGATTAAAAATTAGCTTTGAATATCAATTTAACAAAAACTGCATAAACATCTATCTTAGTTTCAGAGTCTTTTCTTCTTGCGTTTCTTCCTTGTCTGAGGTTTGGGAGCGGCTGCCCCTTTTTCAGTTTCCAAAGTCTCTAAAGATTTAGAACTGGTGCTTGTTGAATCCTGTGAGTAGGATTCTTTGCCACCTTTTTCCTCATCCACATTCTTTCTTTTTTCTTTTGATTTGGCTTTTAAAATTGGGCCATGAACTTATTTGCTTTAGGAACAGAGTCAATCTTGAATTTTCTATCCTCAGAATTTAAACTCAGTCCTTCAGGGAATACCCATCTGTAGAGAGTAAGCGCCTTATAAAGTCTCCTCTTCTTCCTCACTTCAAAGGGGATATCTTTCAAAAAATTTACATCTTCGTTTTGAACTTTTAAAGCCTTCCCCGTCGTGGATTTTAGCACCAGATCCCTGGTAGATCGTTTTGTGAATTTCATATATATTTCTCCTGGGAGTTTGTTTTTCTTTATAAAATCCGGATAAATCCTGTATGCCAAATCCATTTCATTCAATAATTCTTCTCGTTTATAATCCATTAGTGGTGCAAGAGCATCCACTAAAAGTGCCTTTAAGTTCTCATTTTTTTCTTCTGGAAACCCTTGGAAACTTAAGACATATGTGGATCTTTCCAGCTGGAGCTGTATTAACTGTGTTTTGTCAGAGGATCTTTCTTTGTCTGCTTCATCCATTCTTTTATTAATACTCTCTGTCTTTTTTCCATCGTTTTTATTGTTTTTTCTGTAGCTGAAGTTCCTCTATCCATTTGGGACAACTGTTTTTGGAATGAGTCCAATTTGATGTTGAGATTTGTCATCTGCTCCACTAGAGGGCACAGTGCATTTGCTAACAATGTAGAAAAGTCTGTAGTTACTTCCTGGTTCTGGGAGGGAGTCATTGGTTGATTATTTCCTGGGAGGAGTTTCTTCTCCAACATCATTCTCGGCCCTTTCCCTGCCATAATATCAACAAGAAGTAAGTTTTCCAAAACAAGATAAAAGTTCAACAATTTTAATCGGCTTTATACTAGCATGCAGTTTCAGACTTCGTTAAGATTTTCTTCAGTTTAGTTTAGCTTAAAGTCTTTTGTTCTCAATTTAAAACTACTTTTTAAGTTTATCTGGGAGGAGGGGGTCTTGAGTTCCCCCTCCACCCATGCTTTGTTTGTAGGCGCTTCTAATTTCTACCAAGGCTCGTGTTTGCTTTGTATCTCTTGAACATTGCTTAACTCACGTTTTGGAGCCTTGGGCATCTTTTAGAAGCATATTTTAAACTTTTGGTCATGTCTGCTTGCTCCGACACTCATCTCTGATCGCCATATTGGCTCTATATATATAGAAAAAGCAGAGGCCAAGGAGAAGTCTAAATAACCTGAAGTAAATCAGTCATGTGATTCCCTCACCTACAGTATGAAGTTGTATTGTTATGGTTGCCAATTGCAGTTTGGGACATTTCTGGATATTTGAGGGTAGAAGCTGGTAAGAGCACGGCTTAGGGACGGAGGGCTAATAACTAGGGTATAATGCTGTACAGTCCACCCAGCTAAGCAGACATTTTCTCCAGGAGAATTTATCTCTGTATTCTGGAGATTGGTTATAATTCTGTGGGATCTTCAGAACCACGTGGAGGTTGGTAACTCTCTTTTTCATAGACTTATTTAGCAATCCATTGAGGCTTGGGGCTGAAATTGGCCTCCTGCCAGACTTCGTGACAATGAATGCTACTTTCTACATATCTTCTTTGCTGGTTGTCAGGTGTGTGACCCAAAAGTTCTCAGTTGGGAGTTAATTATCTCCCAAGAAATGGTCAAAATTATCGGTTTCTTTCTAGCTTTGATTGAGCTTTCTGGTTATACCAGCAAGGTCAATAATAAACACATTGGATACATGCTATAAAACTAACTTTTTGATGAGCACTGCATGTGTGAAACATCTGGGTTCAGCAAGCCATGTGCATGAGTCTTTCCCATTAGATTTTATGGCATAGATCTTACAGCACATTTACAGCATCTTTCCTTAAGAATGTCCTGTCATGCTCTGTTACTTTTAGAAATCTACACCTGTATATAATATTGAACCTTATCCCTTATGTTTCCTGAATTATTTCCTCATTTCTGTTTTCTTAATCTGAAAAATCATGTCCATGAAAGACCTTCTGTGTAACAACTGCACTCACTAGTTTATTGCTATATGAATTACTCTCTTTTGAATAAGATTACAACAGTTCATACACTGGTTATTATCCAGCCTCCTCCACTGTCAAAGTTTTCTCTACCCCCTCCTAAATGTAACTATGCAGTGAATGAAAATAGTAAAAGTTTTTTCTTTCTTTCTGTTTCCCTATATTTGTTTGCTTTGCACACTAAGGCACTGCTGTAGATATTTAGTGCAAATGAGATTTTTTTAATGCTCCACAGAGATTCACATGAGCAAGAAATAACCATTAGGAACTGCCACACAGGAGCAGAATGAAGACACCTGTGAACCAACGGAGACATCTCTTGCATATGAGGAAGGCTGTGACACAACTGATGTGAGATAATGAGGTTGATGGAAACAAAGGGGTTCTGTATCTGCACGGGAAGTTTTATCATGAAGATATTGTTAATAGTAGTGTTGCTGCTGCTGTTTCCATGTGGTATAGTACAGAGGATGTCTTCTATTAATTGTGCCATGTACAGTGATCCGTTTCCAATTCCTCACAAATTTTATCAGCCAGGAGACCTTATCATTGGTGGAATTACAACTCAGATCATTAGCTTCAACGATGCTCCCCTTTTCATGGAACATCCCACACATACAGTGCTTTATGAACCTATGTAAGGATTTCCTCCCCACCCCGTAATTTATTATTGTAACAGAGATGGGATTATTGAGTTGTTTTCAGTTGGGGGAAAAGCAGTCTGGGAGAAAAATCTGTTACCACTTCTTTTGGTTGACTGCTGTGTGCCTTCCGTGAGAAGAAATGGTAAGGCGAAACCACACTGTGTCAATTGATGGTTTGGATTTAGTCTTATACATGTCATGGTCTCCTAAAATAACTTACCTCTTCTTTCTGTGTATAGATATCACCAGTGATAGCTCTTAAAAATATACAGAGCAATGATGTCAGGCTGCCAATAGGAATGAGATGCATTCTTGCAAGCTTCCCAGTTTGATCTGAATATTCACAATTTGATTTCTGTTGTGTAAGGAAGTGACCTATACAACTTTTTGTTTGCTCCAGTTTCCCCCCCCCTCAGTCTTATTATCAAACAATTATGTTTTTTTACAATTTTACTTCTGAATTCATATCATATCAATGACACAAACATTGCATGTGTATAGAAATAATATATATCAGTAGAAATCTAAGCATAATAACCCCCTTATAAGTCCATTGGTAGGCTTTGAAAGATGGAACCCCAAATTAGATTGCATAATATATTATAGATAAATGGGGTAAAATGATGTCTAGGCACAAACAATCCATAGGACTTTGGTATGTAAAAATGGATTGAAAGAAACCAAAGAACCATCTACAGTAGCAATAAAAATGATAGGGACCAAATCTCATGACAAGGTATGAGTTAAAAAATTTACAGTCCAGGTGGGAGGACAAACATTGTACATGCATTTTTTGTTGTTGTTTTGTTAACTTTGCAGATCAGTAACAAAAAACTACCAGCACATATTAGCCTTGGCATTTGCTATAAAAGAGCTGAATGAGAATCCCAATTTCTTACCAAACATAAGTTTGGGTTTCTACATCCTCAACAGTTACAACCTTGGAAGGATGACTTACAAGGCCACCCTCAGCCTACTTTCCACACAGAAGAAGTTGGTTCCCAACTTTAGCTGTGATATCCAGGAGAAACTTATAGCTATTGTTGGAGGTATTTTGTCTGAAACTTCTGCCAATATGGCCACCATTTTCAACATTTACAAGTATCCACAGGTATGCTATAAAAATGAGGCATGAAGACTTCACTATTCTGGCAAATAATTTAATATTCCAATGTAATCCATTTGAAAAATAACAATGCACTATTTTCCAGCTCACGTATGGACCATTTTCCTCAGTGCAGGATGACAAAAAGCTTTCCCATTTTCCTCAGTGCAGGATGACAAAAAGCCATTTCCTTTCTTGTTACGGATGGTACCCAATGAAGCCTATCAATACAGAGGCATTGTACAGTTACTTCGGCATTTTGGGTGGACTTGGGTTGGACTCCTGGCTATGGATGATGACCATGGAGAAAAGTTTTTTGAGACAATAATACCAATACTCTCTGAAAGTAGCATTTGTTCAGCTTTTGTATTCAGATTGCCTAAAACAAGTTATGTTGAAGAGGGGGTAGATTTGTATTTAATGCAGTGGGGAAAATACCCTCTTCTCATGGACAGAAGAGCCAGTGTATGTTATGTACACGGAGAACCTCCTGCCATGTTGACTTTAAGAATGTTTCTGTATTTAGCACCTTACTTTTTACTGCCTCCTTTGGGTAAAGTGTGGGTAGTTACATCACACTGGGACTTTGAGTTCATCTCTAGCCAAAGGATTTCAGATATACAAAACCTTCATGGTGCAATATCCTTCACAGTCCACTCCAGTGAGCCACCAGGATTCCAAAAATTCCTTCAAGCCATAAGACCTTCCTGGGCCAGAGGAGATGGCTTTATTCAGCATTTCTGGGAGCAAGCATTCAACTGTACATTAAAAATGTTTGACCGGCAGGAGGTATATAAGAAAACATGCACTGGGGATGAGAAGCTGGATAGCCTTCCTGGAACTCTGTTTGAAATGCAAATGACTGGCCTCAGCTATAATGTCTACAATGCTGCCTATGCTGTGGCACATGCTTTACACGACATCCACATATCTAGATCCAAAGGAAGAAAATTAGAAGAGGAAGGGAGGCTAGATTTCCAGAATGTTCAGCCATGGCAGGTATTTGCACAGAAGTTCTTAAAGCAGGTGTGCCGAACCCCCTTATTTCTGGGTATGTGGTGATTTCTTCCTTCACTCTTTTACAAGTTGGAGCGGTCTTATTTTTCACTGACACTGTCACTGTTTGACCAGGAACCCACCCAGTTCATCCTTCTGTCACACACCCAGTCACTTACTGATGAGACCTTTTTATAAATATTAATCTCTGTGGCTTTTCATGAACACCGCCCTTTGTATGCAACGACTCTTGTGGTTTAACTTTGTCAGATGCTTCACTTTGTCAGACACTGAAGCACATGCGACTGGGAACAATAAAACAAACAAGATTTTATTTACAAGGGCAGGCAGGCAGGGAATGTATATATATATATGTATATATATATATACACAAGGAAAAAGTTGATGCCGGTGGATACGTAGTTGCAAATGGTATCAGATTTAGGTTAGTTCCTTTATAATCATTCCCTTTAGATGTCACAATACACTACACTCTCTCTCTAAACTCAACCCCTGTGCTGTTCTAGACGGCCAGTTTTGGTGTGGATTTCTCAGGTGCTCTCCATCTTCACAGAGAAATACCTCCACTATGCCTTGGTTTTGATTTTGGACACCCACTACTCCAATAAACACTCATGGCAAGCACTAAATCCACTAAACCAGACCCTTTCTCCAGCAGGGTATAATTTCTATGTGAGAGAAATGTGTATCTCTTATTTAACCACCAAGAGCTTATTTTCCTTTTTTAGAGTTTTCACTATGGTTTTCACCTTTGGCTTTTCTCAGATTCCCTTAATATTGGAATCTATATAGACATCTCATTTGCTCCAACATGACTCAGAGATGTTCAACAAGACTACTCAGTCCCCTGGCATAGTACCAACAGACTAAAACCAACTGACTGTCTCAGCTGCCAAACTCCATTAAACCGTTTTTTTTTTTTTTTTTTTTTTTAAAACCCCCCCCCCCCGGAGTTCTGCATCAGGATTACATCACTACTGCTAGTCAAATGACGGCAGGTGTCTTTTCTTGCAGGCTGATCCCAAGCCTGGAGTCCATCACAGCAGGTTAATTGCATTTTATCACTGCCTCCTAACAAGAACAGAAGACACCAATATTCCAGTTAACTAGTTTATTAATGACTTGTCTCAAATTAGTGGAAGTTGGGGCTAACAGTTCATTATGGTTATCTGCATCGTAGGCAAACCAACTGTGCCTCAAAAATTAGCCAGAGTTACCACTGACTTTGCTTAGTATGTAAGACAATGCCAAGAGGTGTTGAACCTCATTTTCCCTCCCCTCACATGCCACTTTGGCAGCCAAGGGCTCAATTGGTGCTACTCAGCGACCAAAGCACTTCCCTGCCTAGCAAACCCAGCTGTTTGAGCTAGTGATAAATTAGCTTGGAGTCAACCCTTAGATGGCTCAGTTTGCTCACCAATGAAAGATCCCTGTACTTGAGTAACTTGTACTATTCCTTGCTAAAGCTTAGCAAAAGATCGGGCCTAATTAGCTAACTGAAGCACCCGGCGACCCGGCAACGCCGCTGGTCACTGGGGGCTGTTTTGCCGCCCTGAGGAAGGCGGGCAGCAACAGAGCCATGACGCCTTGCATCGTGACGTGGGCGGGGGGCAGAGCCGGCTTAGATAAACTGCCAGGCTCTGCTCCCACCAGAGGAGAGTTTGCTCACCAATGAAAGATCCCTGTACTTGAGTAACTTGTACTATTCCTTGCTAAAGCTTAACAAATCAAAAGATCAGGCCTAATTAGCTAATAATAGTAACCAAAACACTGTGGAGCATGCAAAAAAAAAAAGCCTCCTTCCAGGTTGATTTGAATTAAGCCCAATAATTTCTGTTAGGGTCCTCAAAAGAAGTTCAGCAAAAGCCTATTATGCAGAGCATAGTAGACCCAACACCCTTCTGACAGTTGGCTGCCCAACAAGAGGCAGCAAATGGCTCACCAAGAGCTAATAATGCTTTCACAGCTTATTTAATTAGAGCTTACACAAAGAAGTACTGCAGCCCTAGAGGCTGGGAAATAACAATCTAGTTGTGGACACAACTCTTCACTGTATATCTAGTACCATGAAAGGGCCAAGGGAATGGTCTCTCAGCTTTCAAAATCCAGTACTTCCATACACATGGCAAATACTCTATGTGTGTTGCTATGTGCATGAACACAATCTGAAATGAGTGAACCCAGATCTAGGTAAGGTGAGCCTTTGTAAGCCTGATGGCAAAGATTTCAAATTCTTAATTGTTCCTTCTGTTATATTTTCTTTTTTCCATCTAGTTCCGCAACCTTTTAGGGAGGATCTTCTTCAATAATAGTGCTGGTGATACTGTACATTTTGATCAATATGGAGAATTACTTGCTGGCTTTGATGTTACTAACCAGGTTACTTTCTCAAATGGATCATTTGCTAGAGTAAAAGTGGGAAGGCTTGATCCTCAGGCCCCTTCAAGCAATGAGCTAACCCTGAATGATAGTCAAATTGTGTGGCACAGAAGCTTTAACCAGGTGAGACTTCTATTAAAAACAAGGCTTAAAAACACTTTCTGTAAGCCAGGCATTTTTTCTTCTTCAAATCTCTGTGTTAATTTTCTTTTCCATTTGTGGACAGGAGCTGCCCCTTTCTGTGTGCAATGAAGCATGCCAGCCTGGTTACATCAAGAAAAAGAAGGAGGGAGAGAAGTTTTGCTGCTACGATTGTGCACCATGCCCAGAAGGAATGATCTCTGAGCAGAAGGGTAGGAGATGTACTTTACTACATCATCCTCATCATCGTCATCATCATCATTGGTCATCTATTCTAATGCCAAGCTAGCCAAATATGAGGATACTTAAGCCATGAACAGATAAGATAGATCTTTCTACAACCTGAAAACTATTCCAGCTTCGTACAAAAATCTGAAATCAAAAACTAAAACCAAAACAAACAAGCCCCCCAAGCATTGTTGTGTTTTGTTTTGTTTTGTTTTTTTAAAAAAATACAATTATAAAAAGAGTGAGAATATGGAGGTGGTCTGGAGGACAGAAAGTAGAAATAATGTAGGGAGGGGGAGAAAGGTGAAAGTGAGATGGCCCCACGTCCTTGAGCGTTCCGTGCCATGCAAGTTGGCCTGGTCCAGTAGCTCACACCACACAACTGGGCCATAGTTTTCCTAGGCAGAGGCTGGCAGCATGGATGAAAGCTTAAGACAGAGGGGCTGATAAAGGTAAGTTGGTGGGAAGGAGAGAAGGAAGCAGGAAAAGGGAAAAGGCTATAGGGGCTTTCAGAGAAGGGAAGAGGGGGAGAAGTGGGAGAGGGGGAAATGAGATGCCCCCCCCAAAAAAAATCCTTTCAGGTTCCCATTTGTTATGCCTAATTTTTATCATGTCCAAATCTGTGGATACTTACATTCAGAAAATGAAGCCATGAACAGACAAGACAGATCTTTCTAAAACCTGGAAAATGCCCCAGGTTTGCAGAAAAATCTGAAATCTAAAAAAGGAGACAAGAGGAGTAAACCTCCACCAAATGATAAAATGAGTGACCTTAGCTTTAAGAAACAGATGCCTTCAGTCTCCATTGATAGGCAACCACAACAGTTTCCCCACCCTTCAAGATCTGGTTTCTGTCAGTAAAATGGAGAGGGAGGGGCAAAATTCCTTCCACTTTCATCTCATTATTTTTTTTCTTTTGCTATGAGAGCCAGCATGGTGAGGGGGTTAAGAGTGATGGACTCTAATCTGGAGAACCTGATTCGATTCTGCACTTTTCCACATGAAGCCAGCTGGGGGACCTTGGGGCAGTCACAGATGCTTCAAAGTTCTCTCAGCCCAAAAAGTAAATCTAGCTCACCACCTAGTGGTGTGTAATGCTAAAAGATCTAGAACTTCAGACTGCCAGACAATCTTCAGGTCTCCTGGCTATACTACACACAATGCTATATAATCATCGTCATCATCATCATCATCATCACCATCTTTTGTCATGATACTATTCTTGATACTGATGGCCCTATTGATGTCTTGCAACCAGATACAGGTAGCTGATGTGAACAATATCCTCCCTCTCACTGGAGGTGTTAGTGCTATGTAGACCTAAGGCTGTATTGTGGAACAGGAAGGATGCAGTGTAATGGGTGTCTGACAGGCTGCTTATCCAGCCAGCCATCAGCACCATGAGCTATACCATCATCCAAAAATCATCATCATGTATGTAGTGAAGGGAGGAGGAGGAGAAAGAGGAAGGGTGTGGAAATATTTGCTAGCACATGTCTATAATTCTCTTTGAATGGTGACAGCCTTGAAATACTTAAACAGCCAATAACTGGTCTAAGGACTGTAGAAATAGAAATAAACTGCCTGACTACTTAAACAGCCCTTTTTATTCCCCCAGACATGGATGCCTGTGTCAAATGTCCAGATGACCACTACTCCAGCAAAGACCATAAACAATGCAGTCCCAAGATCACAAGCTACCTTTCCTACAAAGAGACTTTAGGGATAATCTTATCTATGTTGGCGGCATTTTTCTCTCTGATCACAGCTTTTGTACTTGGAACCTTCCTGAAATACAAAGACACTCCCATTGTCAAAGCCAACAACCGAAGCCTCACCTATATTCTCCTCATCTCTCTCCTGCTTTGCTTCCTCAGCTCCTTGCTCTTTATTGGACAGCCAGGGGAGGTGACCTGCCTTCTGCGCCAAACTACTTTTGGAATCATCTTCAGTGTGTCCCTTTCCAGTGTGTTGGCCAAAACCATTACTGTTGTTGTGGCCTTTGTTGCTACCAGACCAGGATCTCATATGAGGAATTGGGTGGGCAAAAAAATGGCACACTCTATTGTCCTTTCTGGGTCCTTTATTCAAATACTGATTTGTACTCTTTGGCTAAGTACTTGTCCTCCATTCCCAGATAAGGATATGCATTCATTGCCAGGGGAAATCATACTGGAATGTAAAGAGGGCTCTGCTACCATGTTTTACTCTGTCCTTGGCTATCTGGGCTTTCTGTCCATTGTTAGCTTCTCTGTAGCTTTCTTAGCCAGGAAATTACCAGACAGTTTCAATGAAGCCAAGTTCATTACTTTCAGCTTATTGGTCTTTTGCAGTGTTTGGGTTTCCTTTGTCCCAACTTATTTGAGCTCCAAGGGGAAATCCATGGTGGCTGTGGAAATCTTCTCCATCATGTCCTCCGGCGCTGGCTTACTGGGTTGCATCTTTTTCCCTAAATGCTACATCATTTTGCTGAAACCAAAAATGAACAGTCGGGAGCAGCTATTGAGGAAACTTTGAAAATCTCAATCCTCTTTGGTCTTGCAACCAAGATTTGGGCTGAATGTTGATGTGTGTTTCTGTAAAGAATGAAGGATTTCTTATTTCTTCCTTAACGACTGAGGTTACCAATAACAATCCTGCTTCAATGGCTTTGTAGTAGTGCAGATTTAAGAAAGAGTAGCAAGAAACTGTGTCAGTGGTCATAGTCTTAACATAGGGAAAGTTTTCATCCAAATAAAGGGACTATGGGGTTTAGTAATCTATATAAACAAAAAGATCTGTCCATTCATTTGGCTTACTGTGGCATCCGTAACTCCCCCATATATGAAGCCAGATTGTTAATAGCTCGACAATGGATTGTTAATAGCTCGACAATGGAAAACAGAAGGGTTACCTACTAGGGAAAAACTGATGAATAAGATGTTAGAACTAGCCAGAATGGATGACCTAAGCCTTATGCTGCAGAATAAGAATGAAAAGGTACATAAAAGAAGATGGGGAAAAGTGTATAAGTGGATAGAAGAACAGATAGAAACTTAACATCCCTAAATTGTACTTAAAACACTATGCGAAGATCGACTCTGATATGTATGTAAACGAAATAGATGAAATGTATGTGAATATACTTTTAATAAAATAAAAATCGGGGGGGGAAATGAAGCTAATGGTCTCAAACTGTGTGGGAGTTGCAGTGCCAAACATAAAAGCAATTGGAGCATCTTCCTCACATAATCACCAGTATCCGTCTCCCTCCAGTTTTGGCTTTGGAAATCATTTTAGTGTCTGGAAGGCACAGGTCACCAGAAACATAAATCTAGGCATATGAAATTGGATGACATAGTTCAGAATGGTGATGTCACTTGCCTTGCACTTCTTCTTTTGTGTGTGTGAATTCCATGTGTTAATTAGTATTTGGGTGAAGAGGCACTTCCTTTTATCACAGGGAAGTGACGTTATGATGCCGGGCACGCTGGGGGCGGGACCACGGCCATAAAAAGGGAAAACTCTATGGTTTTCCCTTGTATGGTTGTGGCCCCGCCCCCAGCATGCCCGGCATCATAACGTCACTTCCCTGTGACGTGCATGCGGCGTGCGTTTTGCGCGTGTGTGCGTACGCCAGGATCCACCCAGGAGTCCCCCACTGGCAAGGTACGTCCCACTTGGCAACCATACATCAACTAGAGCCCAGGCCCTTTTTATCATGGACCCAGCTCTGTGGAATCGGCTCCCCGAAGACATGAAAGGGCTCTCTCCTTGGAGATTTTCGGGAGGTGCTGCAAGGCCTGCCCGTTTTCCAGGGTGTTTGAGGGTGTTTGAAAAGCAGGCTTCTTTTAAAGGGGCGGGGAGGAGAGATTTGGGTTTTGCTTTTAACTAGCATTGTAATTGAATGGAGCTGCGGTGGCTCAAGTGGTTAAGATGCTGAACTGCAGGCTGTGGAAGGTCAGTAGTTCAGCAGTTCAAGACCCGAGTGCCGCAAGACAGGGTGAGCTCCTGTCTCTAGCTCCAGCTTCTGCCAACCTAGCAGTTCGAAAGCAAGAAATTGCAAGTAGATAAATAGGTACCACTTCAGTGGGAAGGTAACAGCGTTCCGTGCACCTTGGTGTTTAGTCATGCCGGCCACATGACCACGGAAACGTCTTCGGACAGCGCTGGCTCTTCGGCTTTGAAATGGAGATGAGCACCACAACCATAGAGTCGGATTCGACTGGCTTTCGAGCAAGGGAACCTTTACCTTTACCTTAGCATTGTAAGTGACCTTGAACCACAAGGAAAGGTGGGATATAAATGTTTTAATACATAAAATAAATAATAAAGGGAAATGTTTCTTTTAAGAAGAGTCTCTATAGGTAAGCTTCTATTATGAGTCTATTTAGAAATAAATCCCTTCCAGCAAAGGCCTCACTTCTCTCAACAATTTGTTTATGGTTCCATTGGTTTCTGACTAATTAAGGGTGATATATTTTTCAGTCTGTTGTCAAGTGACGAAAATGGATTTCAGAGAAAAATATTTTTCTAAACTATTTCATTACCTGCCATGGCAGACACTAACCTACCAGGGAGTAGAAGTTCTCCCCTATCATTGTCACAATTACTGTTTTCCTTCACTACGCAGTGGATTTCCAGCAGCTATTAGACCAAACAATATCTGCATCTGCAAGATACTATAAAAAACCTACCTGGTTTTGGGGGGTCTAGGGATAGGCAGAGCTTTTTTGGTCTTTTGTGTAAAAATATTCCCTCCACATTCTAGGATTTGTTTCCTCACGCTTACCCCAATTTAAGACAAAAATGCATACCTCTTAATAGCTCTGCACCTACTTTCTTTTCCTTCCTTGATAGCCTGCTATGTCTATGTATGTTAGAGTTTTAAAAAGCACAACTGAAAAATATATTAATAGAACCGCACAAATACTTCTCACCCCTCACACACTCATCCATAGTACAAATTCCTTTCTTTTTCTGTCATGCTAGTTAATTTTTAAAAGCAAAATCTGATAGAGACTTCTCATTTATTTCCACACACAAGGTTATTGATAGCTTTAGCTTCAAATGGGTTGCCACCAAATTTTATTAAACACACTAGGCTTTTATAACCAAACCCATTATTCCTGAAAGGAGAAAGTAAATTCATAGATAAACTACATTCTTAAGACATACTCATGAAAAAGCAGTTACCAAATAGGACCCACTGGTAACTGTTAACAAGACATGGTGCTGATTGTGGTCTTGTTGCTTCTACTGCTTTGCCATTCTGTATGCAGGACACAGACTATGAGTTGTGCCAGACCTGAAGATCTTTTCCCTATCCATCATGAATTTCATCAGCCTGGTGATCTTATCATAGGTGGGATGACTTCTCATATCTTCATCTTTCAGAATGCTCCCTCTTTCGACAAACAACCGACACAAAAATTGATGAATGAACCCACGTAAGGATTTACTCTTTTTCTGTAATGGGTTCTGACAATTATAAGTACAAATAATTTAGTAAGGAATTCAGCCAGTCTTTTAGAGGTATTAAGTAACACACAGAGCTCCCTCTTTTTTCTTTCTGTGCCTGTCTTTCAAAAACAAACACAGGAGGTTTGGTGTTCTTTTGCAGAAATGTTTCACAAAGTCCTGCATCCAAGCTGTATTTCTGCTTCCTCCATTCTCATCTGCTTTATTTATTTATTTATTTATTTATTATTCACAATTCTATCCCGCCCTCCCCGGAAGCTCAGGAATTCTCATCTGCTTTCTTGCAAATTAATTTTAAAAAGCACAGTCTGATGGGAAATTCTCATGTTTCCCCACATAGATCACATTTATTTATTTATTATTTAAAAAATGCTAGTAGCCAATTATTCCTGATAGGGGAGCATGAGTTCATAAAGGGAGAAAATTGTTCAGACATGCCAAAGAGGCTGAAAAAGGGAGAACATTTTTTGGCTGTAAGGGAGGGATGTTGTGCAGAGGGGGTACTGGTAACAGTCTTCCTACTTCCATTGCCTGGTCAGACTGTGTGCCAGACAAATATTAGGATTTGCATGACACCTGCAAATATTATTTCAGTTCCTCATGTCTTTTATCTGATGGACACTCTATCGTTGGTAGGATTTCCAATATTTTACCTCTTTTTTTCTTGACACACCCTCTTTCATGGGATGACTAATATAGCAGTTGACTGATAAATCCATGTAAGAAATTAATTTCTTTTTGTAATGTTCTGACAATAAGTAGTGAATGAGATTAGTCATGAGACGTTCATTCTCAGAGTGAAATGTTGCGTTCAGGAAGACATGGGTGCTTACTAACCTTTACCCCCATCCTTTCTAATATATTACTGAGATGCTTTATTGAGAGACTTTTCTGCATAAGACAAGCTGAAATGAAAATTCCCATGAAACCTGTGCAATAGTACTTTATGTCAGGCTGTGTCTTCCATTCTTGATTCACCCTTTTTTATTCATTCAGAATTTCATTCCCATTCACAGTTTTGTCTCCATCTACTCCCCAACACCTTCATACTTCCATTTTTGTACCTCTGATAAAATTACACATAGATCATGTTTTGAAGTTTCCACTTTTGTAATTTCTCTGCTTAATTAAAGGGTATTTTATACAGGAACAAGTTAGTTTTCAAAGAAGCTTCACTTCAAACTAAGTCACAACTGATCTTGTATATGTAAATCATGCATCTACAAAAATAAATTGATATAAAAAGGGAAATATCTGCTACCCATAGCTACCAACACCCCTGTGGTTCCTATGTCTACCAAATTATACATTTTTTTCATTTAGTAAAATTATATATTCTGCTGGTATCTGACCGTAATAAATGCTTGACTGATTGATTGATTTATTGACAGATTAGAATAAATTAGAAGAATGGAAAATTAGGAAAATTCCATAATAAGAGAAGTTCAGGCAAGGATATAGGTTGGAAAGATATATTGAGCAATATAATTGATTCCAGTGTTTAAAATCATATAAGTAAAAAAGAAAATGAAACTTTTCTTGATCTGTCCTTAAAATTTGCCAGTATTGAAAGATACTGGATTAGATCCAGCCAGCTTTTCCACTGGTGTAAAATGGAGGAGGGAGCACCTTTTGGTCAACAAAAAGGCTATGGTGAGGATTGTGGGACCTGCGTGAACAGAAACCATGTGTGATGAGCTTCAGTAAAGAGGGGATTGTGCAGGATTTAGGGGAGGGGGAAGCTGGATATAACCATGGGTCTGCTGCTGAAAATTTACAATTTTTCTCCAAGTATAACAACATATGGCAGCTTATGGACCTTTCACAAATCTCAGGTGGACTTCAGGAGCATTGTTAATAAAGTGTCTATATCATCCTGTGTCATATGCCATATGTAAAAAAGAACTGGTCTCTGTGTGAAAGGGAATTATTTCTGCTAGCTGGTATAAATGGCTAACTTTTTCCCCAGATCTGCCATATGCAATAGTTAAGAAAACAGGAAAAGGTTCAAGTGTTGATTGAGGAAGTATGGAGAAATAATGAAATAAAAATGTATT